AATTCAGAATATGTCTTCCATTGACGGATCCCACACGCTGCCATCCAGAATTGGATTCCTTAATTTGACAGGGGAAGAATATAACTTGACTATCGTAGATATGATTCTGGCATCATCCTGTGTAAATTCTGTGAGGTGTCAGCTGCATTTTTCATCAACACTTCACCGAGCTAAAGTAATGGATGACCCTCACTCCTGTATCTGTCAGCTTGTCTGGGATAAGCCATATGTAGCATGGTAAACCTTCCATCGGTAAATTCTTAAGTAAAATTACATTCCTCTTGCTCTTCTGTTATTAGCCCTGGGTAACGTCCATCGATGAAAACTAGCGGTTTGTGTTCTGAAGCAGAGAAACTGTAAGAACGTGTTTAATTCAGTCTCAATCCCTTCATCCAGGACCATACAAAAGGCTTTTCTTGGAGTACTTACTGCTGGTAAAGAAATTTGGGATCAGCAAACAAACTTTTGGGAGATTGGGTGGGGGGTGGAGGGGGTGGCAAGGCTGATGACGAAGAAAGGCTGAAAGAACAAGGGTTATTGAATCTGGAGAAGAAAAGCCTGAGGCGGGATTTGATACCAGCCTTCAAATTCCTGAAGGATGATGCCAGAGAGGATGGAGATGGACTTTTCTCTGGGGACAAGACTAGGAACAATAGTCTCAAGCTGCAGCAGGGGAGACTGAGGTTGGACATGGGGAAGGAGTCCCTATGGGGGTAGATTAAACATTGGAACAGGCTGCCCAGAGATGCTGTGGAGCATCCATCCCTGGAGACGTCCTAGTGTAGATTGGATGAACAACACTAGGCAGGGATGGTTTAGTCAGATGGTCATGCCCTGGAGCATGGGGCTGGATTACATGTGTCCTCACAAAGTCCCTTCGAGCCCAACTTCCCTGTGATCTTATTGATCCATCCCTGCTTTGAGTGCATCTCAACATTTGTTCTTGCCTCTCTATCATCTGTCCATGCATCTGCTCTTGTAAGGCTTTATCCCCCCTCTCCCATGCAGCCCCATCTTTCTACTCTTCCTCCCTAGACTCATTGTTTTTGTCCTATTTCTCCCAATTCTCTCTCAAGCAAACTGGGGACAAAACACATGAGGATGAGTGAAAGTAGATAGAATTTAGGCCTGGATCATAGTCAAAATACGCCAAAGCGGTGGTGTTATTAGTCATGCAGTCATCACAGTTAAATGTACATTGCTCATTCAGATTCATAAGTCAAAATCCAGCTAATAGTCCAAATAATCAAAAGCTATGCCGTTATTAGTCATGTAGTCATTAAAGTTACATATACATTGCTTATTCAGATTCATAAAACAAAATCGAGCCTTCTTGACCACTTTGGCAATGCCTCCACCACTTCAGAGTCAGCTGTTTCTACACCTGAGTTAATAACACCACCCCTGAGTAGAGCATTTAGCTTGAGCTACAAACAGACTGCAAGGCTGTGAAATAAAAGAGACCTTCCCTGGCTTGGCTGACGGACAGCAGAATTGCAGAACAAAGGATAATTTCAATAGGGAAGATCAAGAGCTTTAAGCAACAGAGAGGGCTGTTCACATATGCAGAGCGAAGAAAGATTAGCAGGAATCAGGGATATGATAATGAGCCACGAAGCCAAATGACTTTCTCAGCCCTGCCTGCCTAGAAAACCTGCTACCCATCCTAGGCAGTTGGTTTTGGGTGGAGCAGCAATCATTGCACCGCCTCCAGGGATGGACAAGTGAGCAGTCGGGACAATCTAATCCAGGTCAGTATCTATTCAGGAACGAAGGGATGGAGGGATGTGAGCTGACAATGGAGGATGGACCTCCCCAAGTGATTGCAAGTAGACAGAGATGGGTGAGGAACTTCACAATAATGCATAGAAGTCCTGTAGCCCCTTTCAATTTTTGAAGGGCCACAAGAGAGGATATAGATGGGCTTTCCTCTGTGGCTGGAGGGGACAGGACTAGCAGCAATGCCCTGAAGCCACAGCAGGGAACACTGAGGTTGGAGATGAAGGACTCTGTGAGGGTTGTCAAGCATTGGAACAGGCTGCACGGAGATGTCGTGGAGTCTCCATCCCTGGAGATGTCCAAGGTGGGATAGGAAAAAGGGGTAATTAAATCATGGAGGGTGTAGACCAGGTGGACAGGGAACCATTGTTCACCAAGTCCCAGAGGACTAGACCTAGGGGACACCTGCTGAAATGAGCTGGAGGCAGGTTTAAAACTAACCAGAAAAGGACTTTTTAATGTAGCGTTTAGTTAACGTGAGGAATTCCTCATGACAGGAGGTGGTAGGGGCGGAGAGCACAGCTAGGTTCAACAAGGCACTAGACAAATTCATAGAGGATCAGTGTCAGGGTCAGGTTGACATGTGTTCTGTGTCTGAGAGAGACATTGAGCATCTCTTTCCCCCTCAGAAGGTTTCCAAGTCTCCCAGGAGCCCCGTTCCATCAATGCAACAGTCAACGGGACTATAAATGTGAGCTGCTACTTTGCGACCAACCTCCAGAGCAGAGCCCGGGTGACATGGCTCTGGGGCCCAGGAGCTGGTGTGAAGCTGGAAGGTCGCCACCCGTTCTACCAGGGCCGGCTCAGAACCTCTCTGTTGGCCCACATGGGCCAGGCACAGGCTACCATGGTGCTCTCGGCCCTGGAGGAGCGGGACTCCGGCTGCTACCGCTGCTGCATTGAAATGTACCAGGGGCAGAGCTTGCAGGGAGAGGGCACTTCGCTGAGCGTGGTGTGGAGACAGAAGGGTAAGAAAGGTAGGTGTCATTGGGATGGGGAACGTGCTGCGGGGTCCTTCCCCTTCATGGGCTGCTGGCTCGGATTCAACCCTGGGACAGGGGGAATGAGCTGACTGCTCTTGGGGCTCCAACTACAACCTAGACAGGAAGACCTTATTTTCCCACCTACAACACCCCCCGAGCTGCTGGAAATTGCAGAGCACATTATATGTGAGATATATACAAGTCAGTTCACAGGAAGCAGACAAAAGAACAGGGTTGGATCTCTAGCTGCCTTTCAAAACAAAGGGTGTATTCTATGTGAGAGGATATGGTACTTTAGGTCTTCCTTACATTTGGCCTGAATTCAGAGGGTCTCCAGCTTGTTCCAGGTGGTGTTCCCATAGGCTGGCTGGTCTGTAAAGCGCACTGTGATCCCATGTCCAGTCTCCACCTAGGGGCACAAATGTTGTTACACAAATGGGCCTTGTATTTCCCCCTCTTTCCGCCCATCGGGGATAGGCTTTGTGCCAGGACACAGGCCTCCCTCTGTTCATCTACCTGTCTGGGCAGACCTAGTAGCTTGGGCCTCTCTGGAAGAGAGCTCATAGCTTTCATGTGGGGCTCACTGTGCGGGGAGGGGGGCATGGGGGCGAGAAGGGGGTAGGTTGGCTGTGAGAGCAAGTTGGCTCCTAGCTGCAGGTGTGTTTGTGTAAGCATGGGTGTGAGGCCTGTGGTCCTGTCCTGTCTCTCTGTCTCTCTCTGTCTCTGTCTGTTGCACACACACACAGAGGAAAGGACATAGGAACACAAATACACACACATAGGCTGAGGCTGAGATGAACTGAGGGGCAGATATCGTGGAAAAACTAAACCTGCATCCACCCATCCATCCATCCAGTCTCCTGCTTGCTGTCTCCCCACACAACTCCCCAGGACACGGGGGAACAGAAAATGTGAGGATGGAGGGGTTTGGCTTGCTTTTCACCCCATGAGAACCCACCCAGGGTGGCCATGTGGGCTGGATTTTTCCTTCATACAATAGATACAATAAACCGTTTTTTCTTTCCCCACCCTGCCAATCCCCATCAGGTGAACCAACTGCAGAAATCTCAGCCAGCTGCTGTGGGACACCAAGCACAGACACTGAGGACAACAGGAAAGGTAGGTTGGCTGAGCAGCTAAGGGGTGCCCTTAATAGCATAAATGCATCAACTGAGTTTAGTCTACATCCCGTGTTCCAGCATTTCCCTTGGTCAGACCAATCTCTAAGAAATACATTAGAGGCCTCAGCACCAGTGCGTCCATTTTGTATAAATCTGCCCTGATATAAAGATCAGAACTGTATATTTTGGCTGTAAATGTGTAACTTAAAATACTGGAAACTCTATGTAACCTTGTATAGAGACAGGCACGCAAGGCTAGATTCCATGAATAGGAACACACTGTTTGACCCAACACAAAATAAAGCATTGGGAGATCTAGAGCATAAAATCATAGACATTAAGGATTAAAAGGGACTTCAGGAGGTCACATCTAGTCCAGCCCCTGCTCAGTGCAGGATCATCCTCAATTATCTCATCCCAACCAAGGCTTTGTCTAGCCAGGTCTTCAAAACAGCAAAGAATGGAGCTGCTACCACCTCTCTGTGTAGCCTGTTCCAATGCTTTACTGCCCTCCTAATGAGAAATTATTTCCTAATATCTAACCTCAGCGTCCTTTGCTGCAACTTGGGCCCATTGCTCCTTCCTCTGTAGCCTGCCACCACTGAGAACAATCCAGCTCCATGCTTTTTGAAACTACCCTTCAGGTAGTTGAAGGCTGTTATCGAACCCCTCCTTTACCTTAGAATCATAGAAAATGAGGGCTGGAAGGGACCTCAGGAGGTCACCTCTAGTACAACTTTGTTCAAAGCAGGACCCTTCCCAGCTAGATCATCAGATCCAAGGCTTGGTATACCTGGGTCTAGATGGTGAGGTGCATAGTCCCTTCTAAACAACAAACATTTTTCTTGAGTTAAAAATAAGCTAGAAGCTTTATTAATTGCTGGGGGCCTAGGGCAGGATAATTCACTTTAGGTTGGAAGCAAAAACAAACAGAACTTCACTGGAAGGAGTTAGAAAAAAACCCCAAACAATCTGCAGAGCTGTGAAATAGTAGCCAGCAGGTGTGGTTGGCCCAATTGGATGGTCACATGACCAGAAGAGGCCACTGAATTGGAGGAGGGGGGGGCAGTCTCCATAAAAGCCCAGGCCCTAGTAGGCCCTAGTAGCAGAGCCGGCAGTTACGTGTAGGGAGCCAGAGGAACAACATCACTCAGCCTTCAGACTGCAGGTCCCAGAGCACCTGGAGTCAGGGTAGGAACTATGGGGACACAAAACTACATCCTGCTGGGGCTGGGCAGTAGACATCAAGGACTACAGTCTGTACAGGCAAGACAGGGCAGGAAAGAAGTGGGGGTGTAGTGCTCTATGTCAAAGAGCAATACACATCCTTGCTGGTCAGGATAGGGTTAGAGGAGGGGCAAATTGAGGTGCTCTGGGTAAGAATGCAAGGGGGTCGGGGGGAAAGGGACTTGATAGTAGGCGTCTACTACAGACCGCCTCACCAGGGGGATGAGCTGGACCGGGAATTCTCAGGTCAGCTCACGGAGGCTGTAAAGTCAAGGGATGTAGTTGTCACGGGTGACCTAAACTACCAGACATCTGCTAGGAGGAGCAGTCAGCCAGGTCTTTCATGGATATGGTATTTCATGGATAGGTCTGTAAGACTGTACAGCTTTTCTCTGTACAGTTGTGACGATAGTGGCTTCATCTGAGGGTTTCACAGTTCACTTTTTCCAGAAATAGTCAATGCATTGGTCCAGGGTAAGGTTTCATCAATGGCAGGGATACAGGACCTCCACCTAACCTAGGAGGTGCATTGTCCCACTAGGGGAAATGCCTTGCTGGACCTGGTCCTTGCCACAGGCAACGACTTGGTGGGGGGTCTGCGGGTACTCAACCACCTGGGCAACAGTGATCATCGCCTGCTGGAATTTACTGTCCAGCGCAGGGTGTTGAAAGCAAGCAGTAAGGCAAAAGTCCTTGACTTCAGGAGGGCCAAGTCCAAGACGGGTGCTTGTTCGGCAAGGAGACGATCCTCCGAGCTCAAAGGGAGTCAGTCCCAGTGCGCACCAAGGGGGGCAGGAGTGCTAAGAAGCCCCTATGGCTTAGCAAAGGCATCCAGGGATGCCTGAGAGCAAAAAAGGAGGCGTACAAACAGTGGAAGCAAGGGGCTATCACCAAGGAGGATTACACCTCCGTTGCTCAGGACTGCAGGGAGGCAGTTAGGAAGGCCAAGGCAGAGATGGAGCTAGGGCTAGCGACCAGAATTAAGGATAATAAATAGTCCTTTTTCAAATACATAGGGAGTAAGAAGAAGGCACTGGGTAATGTGGGGCCCCTACAGGACAGGGTAGGCAATCTGGTGACTACAGCAAATGAAAAAGCTGACCTTTTTAACGAATTCTTTGCCTCCATATTCCTGAACAGGGAGTGGGATATTTCCCCCACGAGGATTATGGACAGACACAGGGGAGGCACTGCCATGCCTAGGGTCAGGGACGACCTAGTCAGGGAACTTTTGGAGGGGCTGGATGTGTTTAAATCAGTAGGTCCAGATGCTCTTCACGCGAGGGTGCTGAGGGAATTGGCAGGGCTCTGGCCAGGTGCCAGAGGATTGGAAAAGGGCCAGTGTAGTTCTCATTCACAAGAAGGGGAGAAAGGAGGACCCCGGCAATTATAGGCTAGTCAGTCTTACCTCTGTCCTTGGGAAGACCTTTGAGAAAATTATCAAGGAGCACATCTGCAAGGGCCCAGCAGAGGAGGCAATGCTCAGGGGCAATCAACATGGGCTCATGAGGGCTGAACCTGCCTGACTAACCTGGTTTCCTTTTATGATCAGGTCACAAAGTCCCTGGTTGAGGGTGTTGAGGTGAATGTCATCTTCCTGGACTTTAAGAAGGCCTTTGACACTGTTTCCCACCACATTCTCTTAAAAAAACTAGGTGTCTGTGGCATTGATCCTATGCAATCAGATGGGTGGCAAATTGGCTAGGTGGTCACACCCAGAGAGTGGTGGTAGACGGGTCATTTTCGACCTGGAAGGATATGGGCAGTGCAGTCCCCCAGGGCTCGATCCTGGGGCCTGTATTGTTCAACATCTTTATCATTGATCTGGATGTGGGCGTGGAAAGCACGCTGTCCAAATTCGCTGACGACACCAAGTTGTGGGGCAAGGTGGGCACGCTGGAAGGGAGGGACAGAATCCAGCTAGATCTAGACAGGTTACAGAAGTGGGCGGATGAGAATAGGATGGAATGAAACACAGACAAGTGGAAGGTGCTGCATCTAAGGAGAAGGAACCAGCATCACACCTATAGGCTGGGGAACACCCTTCCTGTCAACACGTTGGCAGAAAGGGATCTTGGAGTCATTGCTGACTCCAGGATGAACATGAGCCGCCAATGAGAGGAAGTGGTCAGTAAGGCTAACCACACCTTGTCGTGCATCTACAGATGCATCACAAGCAGGTCCAGGGAGGAGATCCTTCCCCTCTATGCAGCGCTGGTCAGGCCACAGTTGGAGTACTACATCCAGTTCTAGGTGCTGCACTTCAACACTCGCATGGTCAAGGGGCAGCGGGTCAGGCCCTATGAAGAGAGGCTAAAGGGCCTGAACCTATTCAGCCTCCACAAAAGAAGGCTGAGAGGGGATCTTGTGGCCATGTACAAACTCACCAGGGGGGAACCAGTGGAAATTGGGTGAGGCTCTGTTCCCCCGGGCACCACCGGGGGTTTCTCAGAATAACAGCCACAGATTGTTAGAGAGCAGGTTCAGGCTGGACATCAGGAGACATTACTTTAGAGTCAGGGCTGCCAGACTCTGGAATGGGCTTCCAAGGGATGTGGTGCTCTTTCTTCCCTGGGGGTCTTCAAGAGGAGGCTGGACAGATATTTGGCTGGGGTGATATGATCCCGGCACCTGTTCCTGCCCGGGGCAGGGGTTGAACCTGATGATCTGTTTAGGTCCCTTCCGACCCTAAGTACTATGATACTATGATACTATAGATGATGTAGTGGGGCTGCCTGTGGTGGGGCAGTCTCCAGGAAATGCCACACCTGTATCTTCCCAGTGAAAGGTGAGGATGGGGCACCATATACTCTCATCCCCGTGGTGGGTTGCCCCATAGAGGGGACAAGCTTGGGGTCCAGGCATGTCGACATACACCTGAGGCCCAAGGGACATAAGACCTAGCAGCTCAGTGAGAGGCAGAGCAATGGCCCTAGTGAGGGCCTGAGTAATGACCCAAAGAAGGACTAGAGGCTGAGTCTGAGAGTAGTGTCAGTGGAGGCCTGGAGGACTATGCATAGGCCAGCCAGAGTAGTGGCAGCTGGAGGCTGCATAGAGTAGGGCCCATGGGGGTCTTGAAGGACTACACATAGGCCAGCCAGAGAAGAGTCCCCATTGGGGGGCAGAGTAGAGGCCCTACTGTGGGGCATGTGGTCAAGGCATGTCTGAGGATGCCTGCGGCCAAGTTTGGGCCAGAGGACAAGTGTGGCCCAGCTAATGGGCCAAAGGAGTAATGGTGGATCTGGATGCCATCTGTGAGACATAGGACATGGTGTAAGGGAAGGTTCAGAGACGTGTAATTGGGCCTTGGCATCGGGGCAATAAAATGGGCAGCCTCCCACATTTTCCATGTATTTTTGGTACATCAAAGCCGTGGCAGAAGAGTTAGGTCAGTGGACTGCCCTAGACAGGTGGGTGGGCTGACATTGTGACTGGCCTTGGGACAGCGCCCTGTCACAGCTTCATTGCCAGGAGCAGCTAACAGACTGCTGCACTGCAGAACAAAGGCTAGCTTGACTGGTGGAACATCAAGGCCATTAAGAAGAGCGGGCTGTTAAGGCCCGTGGAATGAAAAGTTTAGAAGGGATCAGGCAGATTACAATGAGACAGAAAAGTCAAAACCTAACCGATAAGTTTTTGGAGGCCATCCTGGTTAAATAGTCATTAAGGGGTCATTAAGGGTTTGTCCTAAATTCTTCAGCTAAATGGAGGGGGAAGGGGAAGTCTTCATGATCAATCCTTTTGCTAACTTTGCTACCCAGAGTACAGGTAACCTCACAGGTTGGCTACTGATAGACAAGGCACACACAGGTCTAAGGTCTGACTTTGTATTTGAGAGGAGGAACTTTCTGACTCTGAGGGTGTCAGGCATTGGAACAGGATACCCAGAGAAGGTGTGCAGTCTCCATCCTTGGAAATGTTCAGCTCTATGGTACTCTAAAACCTGCCCAAGGACAAATGCAACATCTGTTCCTAGCCTTACATACCTGGAAATATCATTGTCTTTTTTGGTGTTCAGGAGAAGGGCAGGGCATGTGTCCACATGGGAGCATAGAGATAGCTGCATACAGAGCTGGGGTTGCCCTGGGAGCTGCTGCCTGCCTCACCATGACCATCCTCCTCCTCCTGCAGAGGCACAAAGGTACTTGCCCCTCTATTCACCTCTTCCCATTCTTGTGCTGTTTGTCCATTATGATCTTATTTGGAATCCCCTTCTCTCCCCATCATGCTTGTCCAAGGGGAGTTAGGAGCCCTTGGGCTTCTCCCAAACACCCCTCTAGTATTTGGATAGTCTGATGCCCATTCTTATGACTGGTAACTCCTGTTTCATGTTCTTCTTCCATAGCAACCTCTGCCAGGACCCAAGAGCAACAGCTAATGCAGGTGAGATCATCACACTCACTCCTTGTATTGAGCAAGGGGTTTCAGTGCATGCGGTATATGCATAAATATGGTATTTCACGTATGGATCCGTGGGACTGTACACCTTTTCTCTGCACAGCTGTGACAGGACTGGCTTCATCTGAGGATTTTACAGTTCATTTTTTCTGGAAATAGTCAATGCAGTGGCCCAGGGTAAGGTTTCATCCAAGGGGGTAGGATGTCCAATCACAGGATTCTTTGTCCTTCTTGTGGTTGTCTGAGGGGAGCAGGTGGTCAGTAGTTGTTCTAAATCGGTTGCAAAAGAATCCTGTGTGACATAGACAGTGGAAGTGGTCTTCTAACCCCCCTCCCCCCCAACCAATAGTAGGTCAACAAATTACTTGCCTGGGCAGAAGCTGAGACCTTTGGAGAGTATGGAGAAGTCTTTACCCAACCTGAACTGTTGCTAAGCACTGAGGATACTGGAGTATTGAGTGGTGCCCTTCCACTGGAGAGACAACTTAAAGATGAATGTATAGGTCATTGCTCTGACATTTGTGGGATGGCCATCACTGTTCCTAGCCTTACCGTATCATTGGGTTCTGATCTTTCCCTCTTGGCCCAAGGCCCACCACCTGGGTTGTTTTTAATGGATGTTTTTGGTGGCAATTTGAGGTTTCTGGCAAAATCATTAAATATAATATGGGGATTTTTTTCTCTCTCTTGGAATATAGTGGAGCACATGGTGATTTCCTAGTCAAGTTGATTTCTTTTTGTTAGGCTTGAATGAAGGAGACTGTCAAGCAGGGTTTGGCAAAGCCTACTTTGCTGGCCACCTAGTGTGTTTGTTGCCATGTGTGTTGGCCCAGGGATTGTAGCTGATGACGCACTGGTGGAGGATGTTGTATTGTTTGCATAGATGGAGGAAGCAATGGTCATTGTTCAGGCTGGCTTTTTAGTTCTCTCCATGATCTATGATTGATGACCTAGGATCTTTTTGATCTACTATCCTTGAAGATCTGTGATTTGTCTTTCCACAGGGGGATGCCCAGGTGAGCAGCAAAAGAAGTGACAATATGCACTATGCAGAACTCACACTGACATCTCGGCAGGGTGCTGCACGTGCTCCAATCTGGAACAAACCACAGGAAAACACAGAATATGCCCCTATCCAGACCCGACCTCTTTAAAGAGCTGGTTCTGAGGGCAGTGTGAAGCCGGCAGAAACAATGCTAAATGACCAGGTGCTGTTAGCGACCCTCTCTCCTTTTTAATGGTCTTGGTCTTCCACTAATAAAGTCAACCTTTCTTCTTCAGTTCTCCTGCCTGTTAGCTGCTTCTCCTAACCTAGCTCTTATCTCTCAGCTCTGCAGTCTGTTTTTAACTCTAGTTAGAAACTCAGGGGTAGAAACATTAACTCATAGAGAAGGCAGGCTGGAAGGGACCTGTAGATCAGCTGTAGGATCAGCCCTTCCCAAACCATCCTATAGACCCCATAATCTAAACTCTCCATAAGACTACCATCAACCCTGATGCAACACAAGACGTCACCCCCTCACCTGCCACAGGGAAAGCATGGGTTCAATGAAAGGTTGTCAATCTATGCTCAAGAGATCCCAGGTAGAGGCAATGCCCCATGCTGCCAAGGAAATCAAAATCCCCCAAGTCCACACCAGTCTGATTGGGGAGGGGGAATTGCTTCCTGATCTGAAATAAGGTATTGGTCTGAACCTGAGAGGAAGGCAAGTCTCTCTAGCCAGGAAACTCTGGCTTTGGTCCTAGCAGAAGGATTGGCACAGCCCAGTCAAAATCCCCAGCCATGGCTAGAGCCAACACCCAAAGCCATTTGGGAAGGCTTAGAAACACTCTGATGCATTGAGAAGGAAGGGAGGGGGAAACTAGCAAGGCCCAGAAGCCTGGGAAATCCCACAGAATAACATAGTCATTGCTATGCCTAGATATTCCTCGACCAGTGGCCGTACTAACTCTCCTTGAACACCTCCAGTATGGAGAGGCCACGACTTCCCTAGATGTCTGTTCCACTGCTTCATTGCTTTAGCAGTGAAGAAGCTTTTCCTGAGATTCAACCTAAACCCACTTTGGTGCCACTTCAAGCCAGTGGCCCACATCCTGCTTCCAACAGCAAGACAGAAAGGTGCCTTTCCTCTTCTTTATGGCAGTCCTTCAAGTATTTGAAGGCCACTATTATATCCCCTCTTGAGTGCCTTTTCCTAAGCCAGACATGCCTAGCATCCTCAGCCTCTCCTCACATGACTTGCTTTCCAGGCTCTTGATCATCTTTGTTGCCCACTTTTGGGTAACATTCACTCAGGTGTGGCAGTAACATTCAGAGAAGCATCAAATGCAGTGCCAAGGTGCTGCAGGATGCTAGATTGTGCTCTATAAATCAGAAAGAGATGGGCATGTCATTCTAATGGCTGCAGGACTTTTGATTATCTTTGTCTACTTAGTTGTGTTTTTAGACAGAATATATGTCTGGTGTCCAGTGTTGGGCCTCCCAACTCCAGAAAGGATGTGGACAAATTGAGAGAGTCTAGCAGAGGAAAGAAAAAATGGGTAGGGGCTGGAGAACATGACTTGTGAGCAGAGACTCAGGGAACTGGGGTTATTTAGTCTGGAGAAGAGAAGACTGAGAGGAGATTTAATAGCAGCCTTCAACTCCCTGAAGCGGGGTTCAAAAGAGGATGGAGCTGGACTGTTCTCAGTGGTAGTAGATGACAGAACAAGGAGCAAAAGTCTCAAGTTGCAGGAAGGGAAGTTTAGGTTAGATATGAGACAAAATTTCCTGATGAGGCAGGAAGTAAAGCAGTGGACTAGGCTACCCAGAGAGGTTGTGGTATCTCCATTCTTCAAGGTCTTGAAGGCACGGATAGACAAAGCCTTGGCTGGCATGATAGAGCTGGGGCTAATCTCCCTTTGAGCAGGGTGTTGGACTAGATGTGACCTCCTGAGGCCCCTTCTAACCCTCATTGTCTGTGATTTCATGATTCTCTATAGTGAATTAACACACATTCCAATAAAGTTTTCTTTTCTTTTATCTTCAACTGAATAATGCAGGCCTTGGAACATAGCATATTAGCAAAGCTTCTAGTTTCTTCTTTGTCTTGTGAAAAATGTGTGTTGTGCTATATGAGCTGATGCATTGTAACCAGAAATAGTGCCAGTGTCCACTCCGGTGATGTGTCACATCACAACTGAGCATGCAAACAAGCCACTTGTTCATTAAAGCAGAGGAAAGCAACTATACAAGTAGGAACTTCATCAAAGATGGTGAGAAGATGAGGTCCAGAATGAGAGAATGTGTGATAAGAAAAGGCTGATGGGCTTGGTGGGTCTCTGCATCCAGGCTTTAGAAAAAGATCCAATTGTGAATATCCAACGATGCAGATAACCTATGAAGGGCCAATAGCAGGAGCAATCATCATGAGAAAAATAATGAATAGGCAAGTAAAAAAAGGTATTAAACCACTTGGGACCAAACGGTTGTTGGACTACTGGACCACCCACCTGAATGCCCCAGAGAGACCCTGGACTGCTTGATTGACAGGCTAGGGAACAAGACTGGCTTGCAAGGGAACTGATGCTTTTTTAGGTATGGATGTGTATGCCAGCTGCTAAATAAAGCTACATGTGTGGAGTGGATCTTCTGTCTCTTGAGATTTTTTTTCCTCAACAATCCACTGAGTGATTCAGTACCCTCCTAGTGAGGAAGTTTTTCCTGATATCTAACTTCAACATCCCTTGCTGGCATTTCCCTTGATTACAAGAACAAGTCAGAAAGGGAGAGGGCTGTTTTGGGGACAAGTTGCCAGCTGTGGACATTTCCCAGGGACTTAGGCCAAGATGCAGACACGTGGCTAAAACAGAAGTCCCCAAAGCCTGTTTCTGAGTGACCATAGCATGAACTTTTGAAGATGTGACCCCCACTTGGTCAGCAGAGTATGGGAAGCCATCAACATGTCTAACTGAACCAGTCATGAGATCTTCTGAAATAAAACACAAAGCCTGAATGGCGACATTATTAGAGAGGACCATACATAAAACAGAATCACAGAATTATAGAAAATGAGGGTTAGAAGGGGCCTTAGGATGTCATCTAGTCCACCCCCCTGCTCAAAGCAGGGCCATCCCCAACTAGAACATCCAAGTTAAAGCGTTGTCTAGCTGGGTCTTTAAAATCTCCATGGGTGGAGAATCCACCACCTGTCTGGGTAATCTTTTCCTCTTCTTTACTACACTCCTCATGAGAAAGAATTTCCTAATACCCAACATGAACTCTCCTGGCTGCAACTTGACACCATTGCTTCTTGTTCTGTCATATGCCACCGAGAACAGTCCAGGTCCATCTTCTTTGAAACCACCCTTAGGTTAGTTTAAGGCTGCTATTAAATCTCTCTTCACTCTTAGAATCAGAGTCAGAGAAAATGAGGGTTGGAAGGGACCTCAGGAGGTCATCTGGCCCAACCCCCTGCTCAAAGCAGGACCATCCCCAACTATTCATTTGGCCCTCTGACTACTACCCCATGCTGCTCATCCATGTGGGCACCAATGATACTACCAGGAGAGACCACATCTGGAGTACTACATTCAGACCAGTGCTAAATAGAGGGGAAGAATCACTTCCCCCAATCTTTTGGAAGCACACCTACCAATTCAGCCCAGGATGCCATTAGCTACATTCAACTTCCTCACTACAGAAAGGATGTTGACAAATTGGAGGGAGTCTAGCGGAGGACAACCAAAATGGTTACAGGGCTGGGGCACATGACTTATGAGAAGAGAGTGAAGGAACTGGGCTTATTTAGTTTGGGGAAGAAAAAACAGAGGGGATTTAATAGCAGCCTTCAACTACCTCAAGGGAGGTTTGAAAGAGGACAGAGCTGGACTGTTCTCGGTGGGGGCAGATGACTGAACAAGAAGCAATGGGCTCAAATTGCAGCAAGGGAAGTTTAGGTTAGATATTAGGGAGAATTTTCTCACTAGGAGGGTAGTGAAGCACTGGAACAGGTTACCCAGAGAGGTGGTGGAGTCTCCATCCTTGGAGGCTTTTAAGACCTGGCTAGACAAACCTTTGCCTGGGATGACCTAGTTGGGTCTGGTCGTGTTTGGAGTAGGGGGTTGGACTAGATCAGTGTTTCTCAACTCATGTATTGTGACCCAAAATTGCGTCATGAAAAAATATATGAAAGGGTCATGAACAAACCTTTAAAATGGACTAGCCAATTGCCCGTCATGAATGACGGATTTCAAAGGAGTGTATACATGGCTGGCCCTAAAGGGTGGGCGGTGGTGGAGTGGCCATGTAAACAGTCCTTTGAAATCCGTCATTCTTGATGGGCACTTGGCTAGTAGTACCATATGGCCCCATGCTCACTTCCAGAATCCAAATTTCCTCTTTCATAACATCCAGCCTGTAGTTGCTTGGCATTTTGGCCTGCTCTTCCTTTGCACACTTCAGTACGTTTATGGAGCTTAGCACCCTTTTTGTGAGGAGGTGTGTATATTGAGTGTGCGACGGGAATTCTGCAGCATTCCCTGGAAAACACACATTGTCGGGGCCGGGTGGCAGGGGGCACTGCCACTGTGACCCCCACTCCCTGCTCCCTTCCCTCCCCCTCTGCCACCTCCCCCTTTTCTGCCAGGCAGCAGGGGACGATGCCACCATGACCCCCATCACTGCTCCCCTCCCTCCTTCCCCACTGCCTGCTCCTTCCTGCAGGCTATTATTGGATCCAGGCAATGGGGTGGGGGCACTACCACCGTGACCCCCCACACCCCTCTCCCATCCCTCCCTCCTTCCCTCTTCACCACCTCCTCCTCCTTGCTGGCTGTTGTCGGTGCTGGGTGGTGGGGGGCACTGCCACCATGACCCCGCTCCTCCCTTTGCCTCCCCCTCCTTGCCAGCTGTTGTTGGGGCAGCAGGGAGGTGCTACCACTGTGAGCCCGCCTTCCCTCTCCCCTCCCAGCCTCCCCACTGCCTCCCCCCTCCATGCCAGCTGTTGTTGGGGCTGGATGGTGGTGGGGAAGGGCCGCTACCACCATGCCCCACCTATCCACTCCCTGCTCCCCTCCCTCCCTCCTTTCCTCCCCACCACCTCCCCCTCCCTGCCGGTTGCTGTTGAGGCCGGGCAGTGGGGAGGCACCACCACTGTGACCCCCATGACCACCCTTCACCTCCCCCTGCCCCACACCTGCGCAGCCAAGTGCTGTGCACCCTCTTGGTGGTGCATGCACACTTGATCAAAAGCATTACAGACAGACAGACACACAGATAGAGACACAGACCAAGCCCTTTATTTTATTAGAATTCTCCTTTTAAAGGAAAAAATGTGGGAAACCATGGCTTTTCTCTTGCAGGCTGGCAGAGTCCCAGCCTGCAGGGGCTGCTCGGAGCACCCCCTCAATACACCCACTCTCTGCCCTACACTGCGGGGTACAGAAATGGGAGGCACAGGGTCAGGGGTGGCCAATGTTTACAAATGGGTCATGGTACACTAAAAAGTTGAGAACCACTGGACTAGATGATCT